TCACCGTGGTGGGGTGGGGGAAGTTATAGGTCAATCATTGCAATTGGTTCCTCCACTTTCTACACTCCCTTCCCCCTACCCTAATGGTACTATTACTGTTCCTGAGGGGTTTTTCTGTCCTGGCTTCCGTGTAAGAGCTCTTATCTGTACCAGTGCCCATGTTCTGGTCTAGTTGGATTTGTAAGGTTGAACTGGGGTCATGAATGTAGGTGGGAGGAAGCATTAAAGAACTAGAGGAATGTTATATGTTTCATCACTGCTACATTGCACCCTGGTTGGCTCATCCTTTCCTTGCAACCCTTTTCTGAGGGGATGTCCAATTGTCTACAGATGAGCTTTGGGTCTTTACCCTGGCTCTTCTCATTCATATCAATATGATTGTTTGTTTAGTGTCTTCTGATGCCTGATACCTGGTCCTGTCAACACCTTGTGATCACACAGGATGGTGCGCTTCTATCATGTGGGTTTTGTTGCTTCCCTGCTAGATTTATCTTCAAGCCTTTAAGACCCCAAATGCTGTATCTTTTGATAGCCTGGCACCATCAGCTTTCTTCACCACATTTTCTTGTGCACGCATTTTGTATAAAGTGATTGTTTCAGGGAAGGTGAGCATCACAGAATGCCGGGTAATCAGAAAAAAATGTTCTTGCATTGAGGGATTACCTGGGTGGAGGTCCAATGTCTGTCTGCCACTTTAATACTTAGCATATAAATATATGTACATAGTCCTATATCCCTATCATTATAAATATAATTACATATGTACATGCCTGTATTTATACCTCTATAAATATCTTTTGCCTCCTAATTATTTTTTCGATTTCTTTTTACTTTCTTCCTGCCCCACTTTCATGTTCCACCTTCATTTGGCTTTCAGTAATTCCTCTTGGCTACACTGCACTTGATCAAACCCCACCAGGCATTTCTAGCAACTGAAAGTATAGGACTGCTACCACCTGAGAAGTAGATATTTCCTTTCTTAACTCCTCTCTTTACTTCACTTATCAGCACCTTTGCTTCACATTCCTAACACTCTAGGACAACTGTTCTCAACCTGTGGGTCATGACCCCTTCGGGAGTCAAACGACCCTTTCACAGGGGTCACCTAATACATCCTGCATATCATATATTTACAATATGATTCATAACTGTAGCAAAATTACAGTTATGATGTAGCAAAAAAAATAATTTTATGGTTGGGGGTCACCACAACACGAGGAACTGTATTAAAGGTTGCGGCATTAGGAGGGTTGAAAACCACTGTTCTAGAACTTGGAAGTCTCTTACTCCTTGAAAAGAAAATCTGATTATAAAACTCTTGTCGTCACACTGCCTTCAAGTTGATGCCAACCCATACCCAGCCTGCAGAGGGGTTCTGAAGCTGTGAATCTGTGTGGGAGCAGAAAGTCTCACACATTTCTCCTGTGGGGTGGTTGCGAGGCTCAATCTGCTGGCCTCCTGCCTTGCAGCCCAAAGTGTAACCCACTCTGCCACTGAAGAATATGGTATTCTTGAACATTGAAAGAAAACAACTTAATTCACTTTACTGCAAAATAACTGACACTGTGGAAGATATATTAATAGTGTACTATAATTTCTAAAGTAAATTTCAAAGATATATATATATATGTGATGTCTATAAATAATCATAACAGTGTAGAATAAAAATTTAATTCCAAGTGGCTATTTTTGTTGTGTCTGACCCAAGCCATGCTGTTTTCAATTACCTCCTATGCATGTGAAAGTTGAGAATTGAAGAAGGAAAACTGAAGAAGAGTTGATGCATTTGAATTGTGGTGCTGTTGAAGACTATTGGAAGGACCACGGACTGCCAAAAGAACAAGCAAATCTGTCTGGGCAGAAGCACAGCCAGAATGCTCCTCAGGAATAAGGATGGGGACACATCGTCTCACATACTTTGGGCATGTTATCAGAAGAGATCAGTCCTTGGAAAAGGACATCGTACTCAGTGAAGTAGAGGGGCGGGGGAAAATTGGAAGCATTTGGACAAGATGGATTGACACAGTGGCTGCTACAATGAGCTCCAACAGTTGTGAGCACAGCACAGGACTGGGTGGTATTTCATTCTATTGCACAAAGGGTCACTATTGGAACCAAGTGGATGTCATTGAACAAGAAAACATTTTACAGGGACACCATTACTTTGTTAAAATTTGGGTTTGCTTGCAAATTACGTAAGTCATAGGTCTCATATATTGAGCAGCAAAATCAAGTGTATATGGGGAGAAGGTGGTGTTCTTGTACATGTTCAGGTTCATGGAACTTGTGCAATTGGAGTTTTTGTGTCCTCTGAAGATCCTAGAGAGCTAACGAGCTATTAGACTGACCGTGGTCTAGAGGACAGGGGCAGAGAAAAAGTTCTCAGCAGATAGACTTATATGCAAATAATCAACACCAATAACCTTTAGGAATGATTTCTATCTTGCCTTACCTTGTGATGGTCAACATTAAGTAACATCAGTCGGAGATTCTGAGGACTGGTCCCAGTGAAGTAAACTTCGTAAGATTTGTTCAGTGCGACGATGCCATGGAACAGGGACAGCCTTCTCTGGCAAGTGTACCCAGCACACCAGCCATGATCCTGTGGGCCTAAGTCCACACAAAACCAACGTTCATGTCCCTGTATTGTGAATACTATAAGTGCAACATCTGAAGGCCATTGTATCAGAAATAGAATACAGTGGTCAAGGTCAGCACTTATACCCTTTATGTGTCAATCCTCTTTCCACCCATCCAAGCGATTTCCCCAACATTAGCTTAAAAAGAAATATGGGGAAGCAACCCATCCCCTTCTTACCTTGGCCCGTAAAACTAAGCATAAGTAATTCCCCGAGGAGGATTCATATGGAAGGCCATTGAGGGGACTAGTAGATTTATAGTTATCTGTATTTTAATAATCATGTTTGCCAGGCTGCTATTTAAGCTCAGGTCCCTGGGTGTGTGGGGCAGATGGGGAGCGGGGAGGGGCACAGGGATCAACTTTTCAGGCTTTTTGCTGAAAAATGTGCTATAACAGAATTCACATGTTAAAAATAGAACCTCTGTGGAAGACATGAATATCCATATGTTTAAATGATTGTTTCATTAACTCTTTTTGCTTTCTCACTTGTTCATTAATTTACATGTTCAACAAACATTAGAGTATGGTGTTCTTCAATACTACTCTGTGGTATCTTAATTAAATTAATTTTTGCTAAAGACATTGATTCCATGAAATATATATATACAAATATATTACTATTGTTTTATATATATATTGCAATCGTATATTTTTGATGACCAACCTCATTAACAAATTGCAATATTCAGAGGACAATACTCTCTTATGCTCCCTAGAATGTCCGGAGATGGTGGACACTCTGCTCCCTGAATCTAGACACCGCCAGAACAGGTGTAGCATGACTGTCATGACACACTTCTCTATCTCACTCCAGTTGTCCAGTGGCAGGAATTACACATAAATGAAACACTGAGTAGAATATGGAAAGATGAATTTTATTGATGCATTTATTCATTAGCTTTGCTGAATTTCTTGGCTGACTTGGAAGGATGATCAATATTTATAACTGAACTTCAATTGAATTTTAAATCAATATATGCTTTGAAAGATAACCTTTGCCTAAGCATGCAGACTATAAAGTCTACTTTCAAAATAGATCTACTTTGTGGGTTTTGAAAATACTCACTAAAAAGTGTCTTGTATAAAAGGGAAAAATTTAGAGTGACAAAAAGGAATATTTTAAAAAGAAATAATATTGAATATTGACATTTCAATGAAAACATTGGTGATATTCAATAACTTTCCTTCTAGGAAAAATTGTGCCCGTCTAGTGCAGTAAATATGCTAAGCTTCAGTGATTCCTCATACCTTCATGATATTTGCCATGCTACTATTACTTATTTACAAAAATGACTGTTCTTTAAATTGATAGTCATCTTTCTTCACTATATAAAACAAAAAAATTTGAGATCACCTCTCCTAGTCACTGACTGCTTTTACAGTCTTCCCACAATTTCTCTGCTTAGCAAATCTGAAAGGCAGCATTTAAAATTGGTTGATTGCAGGCCACGGGAAAACAAGCAGATTGGATGTTGAGGTAAGAGATGTGGGAGATCCTTAAAATCATCAGACTCTTACAAATCTGGCCGGACCAGAGTATGTACACTGGTATAGATAAGAGCTGGAAACACAGGGAATCCAGGACAGATAAATCCCTCAGGACCAATATTGAGAGTAGCATACCAGAAGGGTAAGGGGAAGGTGGGAGGAGAAAGAGGGAACCGATCACAATGATCTACATATTACCCCCTCACAGGGGATGGACAACAGAAAAGTGGGTGAAGGGAGACCTCGGTCAGTGTAAGACATGAAAAAAAAATTTATAAATTATCAAGGGTTCATGAGGGAGGGAGGGCAGAGGAGGGAAGGGAAAAAAAATTAGGAGCTGATACCAAGGGCTCAAGTAGAAAGAAAAGGTTTTTAAAATGGTGATGGCACAAATGTACAAATGTGCTTGACACAATGGATGGATGGATTGTGATAAAAGCTGTATGAGGCCCCCCCAAAAAAAGATTCTTAAAAATTATAATCAAACTCTGAATTATCCTAGTTTCATTCTTCTATTCTCTTTAATGAGTTTTGAAAATTTGATATTTTTGTGCAGTTTTGCTTATAAACCTTAGAATTTTTCAGTACTATCAAGTATTGGGAATATCAAGTATTGATATTATGATATTATCTAGGCACAGAGATCTGTGTCACCCAGGATCTGTGGCTTTTCAACACACGAGAGGTCTTCAGCTAGCACAAGGACTACTATGATAAACTCAATGTCAGTTCAAGGAGATAGAGTGAATCTTTGCCCTGTTTCAGTAGCTTTACCCACTCAAAAAGCCATGGACTCCTAACTTGATTTTGATCCCTTCTGGAGACTGTTATTTCCCGTCTGTGCCACGGTGACCTGACAGTGGATGTAAAGAGCCTAGACTCTCAGCTTATCAAGCAGTTCTTGATAGTCAAAGGAATCAGCGATGATTTCTAGCTAACTCTTAGGAAAATTCATGAGAATGAAAAATAAGTAGGCTAGGGAACCACTTGCACAATTAACCTACATATCACCTTAGCAGTGTTTTTTAATTTATGTAAGGCAAATTGTCTCTTTGGAGATGCTCAGGACAATTGTTTTTCCAAAATATTTATAGTATCAATATAGGTATGAAGGTCACTCGAGAAATACGTCTTCCCACCCAATGCTTCCTTCTTCTAAGGGTGAATTTGGATGGACTGAGCTGACTCTCTAGCATGAGGAACTAAGGCAAGAGTCAGAGGGCTTTTTTACAAATGGAAGGCAAAAGATGATCAAGTGTTTGTTAGTTCTATGTAGGAAATACGTTTTGAGATGGTTCCATGGAAGGCAAAAGATGATCAAGTGTTTGTTAGTTCTATGTAGGAAATACGTTTTGAGATGGTTCCATGCATTTAGCACAAAGTTTATGCTTTGAATTAATCTAATTCATTTTTATTAAAAACTTACCATTAATAAGATCAACGTAACCACTGCTCAATAGAGCCACTGGTGAAAGTCTCCGCGTTTCTGAGTCAGAATCCAGGCTTTCGATAACCATCATTGCGTATTCCAGTCCAAAACACTGATAGCTCTGCCACTTGGGAATGTATTTACAAGTTGCATCCCTAATAATCCCTGGAAATGTGTGTATATATTTTAGTAATGAAAGGGAATCTCTCCTGTATTAATAGACATTCAGTAAGCAGGGGATCTGCTATTGGTTGGGGACATCAATGATTAAAAGAAAAGCGATATGCTTTGTTTAACAAAAGTGAGGGCGAACAACGAACCTCGAGAAGGTGCTTTCTCGGTAACAGGAATTCTACTTCCATTAGGGAAAGTGAGCGTCGCTTTAGGAATTCTGTAATCCCCGATTCCAAGTTGACGGTTTCCATTCCACTCATATTCTGCCTGAGGAATCACTGAACCAGGACTCCCCAGAAAGGAGCCATCCACGTCTCTAAGAAGAGACTTCCTTTTGGCATCGCAAACCATGTCTACACAATCAGATGGGTTCACCTTACTGTGGAGAAAAGGCAAAATGAAGGAACACTTAGACTTGGTATTCTTCCCTTGCTCCTAGAGAGAAATTCGAATATATTTGAATATTTGATAATAGGGTACCAAAGAGACAAGTTGATTGATTGAATCCTGTCATTTCAGAAAAAGATACAAAGTGGGACCAAATAGCATATATAATCATCATTGTAATGAGGTCTGTTTTTCCATTGTGTTGATTTGGTCTATTATGAATTCATTAACATTTCAAAAGGACACGGTATACCGGAGGGACATAACATTAGAATTTCATTTTGATAATCATATTTTGATGAAGGGCAGATTTCATGCTGGCACCTTGCCCATAATATGCTGATATTGTCCTATTGAGTATGTGAATGGCTACTTTGCTTAACAGAATATATACAATGCCTACTTTGGCAGGAAAGTCTATTTTTCCTTCTTTGTCCTTTGAAAATGGTTTTTAAAAATTATCAAAGTATTGTATGCTTAATATAAATATTTAATCAAAGTTCAATCCCCTTCACCTCCCTATCCCAAGCTCTTAGCCTCATCACCAATTACAGATTAATGCATATTCATGTAGACCTTTGTCTTTGTAATGCAAACACTTTACTAAGAACCAGGGTAACTGTGAGCTGTTTTTGACCAACATTGGGAGCTTTGGGGGAGATAGGTACAGTGCCTAGCACAGAGAATCTGGGAGAGCAACAACTGCAAGCACAGAATTCACAAACATCAAAATGAAATATTTCCTTCATGTCCTTAATATTGAAAGTACATCTTTAACTTGAGTCAGTAATAACTAAATAGGATCTAGGAAGTTCCTAGTGGAAATGGGTTCTCATGAGTAAAAAAATGAGCAGAAACCAAGGGCTCAAGTAGAAAGAAAATGTTTGATAATGATGATGGCAACATATGTACACATGTGCTTGACACAATGGATGGATGTGTGGATTGTGATAAGAGCTGTAAGTGCATCCAGTAAAATGATTAAAAAAACCCAAACACTGCAGTTCAACAATTATTAGATGAATAGGTATTGGGCTGTCATCAAAGCAAAATCAAATGAAATTAAACTATTTATGATATATCTGTTTCTCTGATGCCTATTTAGACAGTATTATCCTTTGTCTTCTGCCTTATACTGAAAATGGTCCAAGATCTGTACTAGAAAGGTTTTTTCCTCCCTCTAATACCTTTAGTATTGTCTGATATCTAAATTCTTTCCTGTGTCTCTTAGAAAACTTTAACAGCTATGAGCTATATTTGAATCCAAGTGATGAGTCTCTAGAAATAGTCTAACATTTCATTGTTCAGAAAAATCGCAGTTCTAAGTCCCTGCATATTCACAGTCACAAGTGATTATAATGACTGACATTTGATTTCTGAGCACAAGTTGGAGTGCATGTGATGAGATCATTAGAAAGTTACTAGTAGCAAAAGAGGTAAAAGAAAGGGAAGAAATTATACAGGCGCCTCGTACCTTTGATGACTATTAGTAAGGAGATATTCATGTAGAACACATGTCTGACCCTAACGCTTTTATATTTAATGATGATGTTATTGATAATACATGGGGAAAACGTGAAAAATGGACATGAAGGCCCATTTTTAAAAACTCATCTGAGAACACTTAATTGTTCAGCAGTCTTAGTTTTCATAATCTGCTTAAGGTTTTATAGAAATTCGCCCTTATTTTAACACAGCAACTTTTTTTCAGCTTGAAGATAAGGAAAGGGAACATAGAAAACTCTAAAAATATGAAAAAACATCTGGGTTTTTGTATATTTTACCTTATATCAGGCCTATGTATAAATACTTTGGATTGTTCAGTAGTATCAACCAGCTGTATGTTCTTCACATAGATCGGATGTTGTAAATCCTCATTTAAAGGGTTAGTAATGAATACTACATTAGTTTCACCTGAACAAACATTTTTAAATCCAACAAATGTTAAACCTAAAACAGAGATAATGAAACAATCATTTTCTATCAAAAAAATGTGAAAGTCAGTATCTCTTTCATATACATTTTCACCAAATCCTTGAACACATCTTTGAATATGAAGCTCTTACTTGATATGATGGATAAGTGTACCACTTATATTTGCATATCGACCATTATTGGAATGACAGTAGTCACAACATTAATAAAAATCTGAAGAGTGACTACATATTAGTACCTGTTCTCTGCTGGTGCTCTTGGGAAGCCTGTGACTTCCAGCAAGTGAATAAGTTTGGGCTAGTTTGCTGTGGACAGGAGGCTCTTATCCCATCATCCCAACCAGCCCTCCCCCTAACCAATAGCCAGTGTAAGTGCTAATCTCCAGACATGGCGGTGAATCTCCCAGACTAACAAGCCCCTCGCCACTCTGTAAGCAGACCGCAATCTAATAGATAAGTCTAGCTGCGAGGAACAGAAGAGCCACTGAGCTAAGCAAAATGACAATTCATAGAATCATGAATGAATCATGAGATATTTCATTTCTCTATTTTGGGGACTAACTGAAGCAAATAATTGAAATATTGGTGATGGTTTGGGGGCAAGGAGGACAGATTATGAAGCTGGATAAGGGGTAGTATAGATATGGGGGTATTCTCCCATGACACAGGATTTTAACCCATGGGAAGTAGCAAGCAATGACTAAGATAGATATGAAAGGTCCAATTCCTTTCTTGACCAAATGTGAAATCAACTAGGTACAATTGATATTCCTGTGCTCTCCGTGGGGTCAAGTACAGGGATTTCTCTTTGCTCAGCCATTATTTCTCTTGCCCTATTATATTTCCTTGACTCCCTCTATCTTTGAAAGAATTCCTTCAAGAAATCATTTGTACAAAAATTGCCATTCAAGGCAATTGCTTCTGGGGCATTCAACCTAAGATAGTCATCACTCATGTATTTTATCTTTTAAAATGATGTTTTCCTTCAAGAAACTGCATTCCTAACACTCCAACTGAAAGGAATGCTTCTACTCCTATATCCTATTTATAATATTCCAGAACATATTTTTATTAAAAGCAAAATCTTAAATTGCCTGTTAAATGATTTTCCCTAAAGGTATTATCATAACAAGCAACACTAAAAGGTGATGATCACAGGCTTAAGATTTCTAGGATTGAAAGCCAGGGGAAATAATATATCAAAACTGAAATGTCTAGTCTACTGAACAGCTTTATTTGAAGACATACTGATTCAAATGATCATGGAAGGGAGATTTTCTGAAGAGAATACAAGGCGACCACAGGGTAGTTTATATATAAAGTAAATTTTTTAAAAAAAA